ATGGAAATGTGGTGAAGAGTGTGGGAAGTGTGCACTGATTGTAAACCACCCAAACCGGCAGATAATACACTTTCAGACCGTTTGTCATATACCGCACACCCGTCCGGTCGTCGTAGGCGTGGCTAATAATAATCACTTTGTGGCCCAATTGGATCAGACACTGTGACAACTGGTAGATATGACTCTCGACGCCCCCTGTGTTCGGGTAGAAGAAGTCGGAGGCCATACTGTGGCACAGATGGCGGACACGTCGGGTATGGAGTGGACAGGAATAACAATTGGTTACATTTGATCCATAGTTTCGTAATCACAAGACTTACCAAATTCTGTGCATTTTGTGGCCAAACGATCGCCCGATTCAAGTGCTCAAGACTTTTGACGCCCTGTATCTCATCAAACGGTGATGTCTTCGCCCTATCGATAGGTCTTGCGATGAGATGTTGTGACAAAAGTACAACTTTTTGTTTAATTTAATGACTAAATTGAAAGTTAATTGTAGTGTTAATAGTGTTTAACATTTAATACTGTAATCAAAACAAAACACTCATCAGTTTTATTGACATAACTTTTCAATCGGTTTTTGGCGTAATTTATGTCAAACTTACAGAATATTGTCCCCAAAAGGGGAGGATTAGTAGAACCTGAGATTCTTGTGGTTAATTACCAAGATTTATAAAATGATGACCCAGGGCACAATTTAGTGACTTTGATTAAATAGGGTTAAAGATTACTTAACAATAGAGTAACCAAACAGACTATAGAAATGGGAAGGGGTTGTGATGTATGATGATTGCCATGAATCGAGGTAGTCGTACAGAATATAGATATTGCATGTTAAAGGTAGAGTAGTACTAAACTGTACCAGGGTCAAAGCATTAGATATATGAATAATTTATATTAATTGGCGAAGAGATGCAATAATATTGTCATTGAAAAAATAAGCAAAACAAGTGTCAAAATAGTGTTGTAATTGTATTTTATTGAATTCATAAATGAGTTATTGCTGTGAAATAATAGGCAAAATTGAAATGTGTTTCCCCTATAACTCACTCTCAGTCTCTCTTTTCATTATCTAAAAAGTACTTTAAATCCGCAACTATTGGCTGAACCAAGAGTTGGCCTATAAATTAAAAAACATTACAATATAATTGTGTATTAAAAAAACATTTGCGTTTGTTATGTCTAAAATCATTACATTATAATAAAGGACTAGAGAATTAAAAATTGCTTTGATTTATACATTAAAAAAACACAAACATTTGTGGCGTGTATTGTATTTCAATCTACTATTTATGTGTGAATAGACTATAGTTATTGTACGGAATTCTGAAGTTTCTTATAATTGTACTAATGTTTGCCGTAATCGATGGCACACTATATATAGTCGGCACGAGAATCAGTAGTTCATGTCTTTGTATTGCGTGAACACTGAGACCTTATCCTTAAGCTGTTGACAGAATTGTAGGCCAACCGTGAAGAGTACCAGCGCTTCGCTTAGCCACGGAACCGATGTCTCGGCCTTTTAAAGACATACAGATATGGCATTAGTTGACTATTTATTTGGGATCAAATGGAGTGTTTACTTGGTATATATCAAACTTAAGTTGTCCGGAATGACTGTCTTTCAGCATGTGATAGACAGCGCACACCAGTTTGTGGGACTGGATGTAGAAACTGACGGCCAAGTCGTTGGGAAGCGGCGGTTGAAGGGATTGCTGTTTACAACAATATATACATTTGTTAAATGAGGACAACTTTGGATGTATTGTAATGAATGGTAATCTCGAAGCCATACCATATTCCTACTGCTCTGCAACTCTTCAATTGTGCGTTTCTTCGGCACAATAAGACTGTTACGACCCCTTTGTAAACAACTCATTATGTTGTTAACCATCTATGTATTCAATCAAACAATTGTGGTTAATATGAATGCATGTGTGACAAGGAATGTCACCAAAATGGCAAGTGTTGTCACTTCAAACCTCAATCACTTCTTGAGCCGATCGGAAGTCAAATTTGCTTTCGTTTCGATCGAAACGTAACGGAGGAGAAGATAGCAGATATAGGGCAGACATGAGATGGTTAGACGCGTCCTGGATCTGTTCGGGTGACAGTTATAGCTGTCATATATCATAATAATGACACACATTTCAGATGCAATACCTGATGTAATTTCCATTGACAGTCGTTCTGAACAATAGTTCTTTGATTCGGAATCGAGTGCTTATGGAGACGAAGATTGATATCCTGTGAGAGAAGATAATTGTAATTCATTGTGATTACAGACATTGTCTTCTGGAACAGAATATCAATGAAAATCGAGTACAAAATGTATATTCAATTCTTGATATAAATGCAAATATAAATAACACTATATTTTAGGAATATTTAAATGCCATTATATGTGGCTTCAAATGTGTGGCCAAAAGGCGCTCAAGAGGACAGGGATGAGAGGGTGAGGGACAGTGAGAAGACATACCGCGTAACAAATATTATCGGCCGAAAGTGTGGCCAGAATCTTGATTTGATCCAAATGTGTGGTCGAGTTTAGCGGAAACTTTTCGGTTTTGACCAAAGTCTCGAGACCCGGAACGTGGACTGGGAATCGACGACAACACTCCTGGAAGGGTAGGGGGTGTGGAATATACCAACAGTGCATTTATTAATAA